GCAGGGCATTTGGACATGTTATGCCGCATTAAGAGCCTACAAACTCGGTAGGACCATCAATATTCATGTTCAGTCAATTCTGCATGATTGGTCAAATATTTATTTCTCTATTCCATTGAAAAAGATATATACATTAGACAGCCACAACATTATGACAGCCAGTGTAACGATATCCAATGCAAAAACTGTATACATGCTTCGCAAATGCAAAGGTAATCATATTCGGTTTTGATTTCAAAGGTCGTCATTTGAAATGTTCATTTTTCTACTTATAGTTTGCAGTGGCGTAGATCGTGTGCACAGCGTGAGAGCTGCTCCTGATGTTTTGATTGCCTCAGTTACCTGAAACTGTCAAAAATAGTGAGAACAGCTCTCAGTATGAGGTAGAGAAGGTCTACAGCACTGCAAATCAAATAAAGAGTAAAATAAATCTCTGTGGAGGTTGATAAAAATCGACCATTATTATATGAAAAAGGTAGAATATTTGAACTCTTGTATTGGATATCATTATTTGTGCAAAAGGTCAAACGTTGAGGCTGGCTAATGTACACTTGTGCTAATTAGTTAACATACCCAGGCAGAATTTGTAACTTCAAAGTACCGTTCAAAGAAAAAAGTGACCAAGCAAAATATATTTATTTCATTTTTAAAGTTCTTCTAAAACTATTACGGCATTTCCAAATTACACAATTATTGAGGAAAACAGCAGCAACAGGAAAATGAGATGATCCCCACTAAGTCATCAAAAAAAAAAAAGTTTCACAATTTCTGCCGGTGTATTCATCACATGAGCACAACTGTATATCCATAGCTATATGTGAGTATTTGTGTGCTTACGCATGTTTGCATCTGCATCTGCACTTCATGCACGTGTGTTTGTGTTCGTGTGTTCATTTTGCTTCCTCACAGACTGGACATGATTGTAGGCCCACAGCCCCTAAGCAGCCGTGCCAAGACATTTTCCTCCCCCTTCCTGCCTCTCTATTACAGCCAGGGCAGAAAGAACTCCACCCAAGGGTCAGAGTGCCCAAACACATCAAATGGGTTCAGTTTATTTTCCATTCTGTTCATTCACGATACAGCGCATGCTCAGAAAGATTCACACAAAATATATAAAAAATTGAGCGCAGCCTTTGCTCACACATCCTAATGCATTGCTCTTTGCTTCCATCTGTCTGCTGTTCAGCGGATGACCCCATCTTGATGAGCTTTACTTTTAGCGCTTCGGATGAATCAAGTTGTGGTGCTTTTGATTTGATTGTTTTGTTGTATTCATACATTAACAAAATATGCCACCAACTGGTCAAATTATCAGATATCCCAAATTCAGATAAACACGTACATACACATACAGGCACACACACACATTCCATGCATCGTTGGGAGAAGGGTGGGGCAATGTAGGCTACAAAAGTGTTCTTCAGTGCAGCCTTCGCTCAGGGCCCATCTCCATGAAAACAATGGCCAGATTTGAAGGCTGAATTTGAAAGTTACATGAATTTGCTCACCAGCGTTCGGTTAAGATACACCAGAAGTTACGTCATGAAGCCTTCAAATTTGGCCTTTGGAGGACGCCGCCTACAAATGTGAACACAGCAATAGTGACAGGAAAAACAAGTAAATGCCCTTCCACTAGATGGCAGAAGATACAATTAATCTGTGTGCCTACTTGTAACTATTCATAACTTTGTGTTCAACTAAAGAGATTTTACGTTGAGTCAGTAAACTCGTAAGTGAGCCCAGACCATCATTATGTCAGTATGTGTATATATATATATATATACATATATGAGTCCACTACAATGTATTATAATAATCAATGTGTTATGGTGTGCCATTGTAATATTTAGGGTGGACCAAATCCTTGGGAAGGGACAGATCCCCCTGGACAAGAAGATTCGTGAAAAGTTGTTGTCTGATGGAGATCTACTGGAGGACATGAGCATGTTGGGGCGCGTTTGTAAAGTGGAGCGCCAGGTGCTTGTTTTCTTCTTTTTATTACGCTTTAATTGATTGTATATGTAATGATAAACACAGGTGGGCATTTTGTTAGTACTAAGGAAAGTTCCGTCAGTTCATCATTTACTGATACCAATTTTGCTGACGATTGACAAATGATGGGAAACTTTGAAAATGATGGACTAGGCACTGACGGAGGTAGGGTTTTATCAGTGTAATTGTCACTAACCGGTTTAAGGACCGATGGACCTCTCAGGCCATCACCGACAGACGCCTGTTTTGCTGACGATTGACAGAACCACCGCATGTCTCGTAGGTTTCTTCGTGGAGGGTGACGGACAAACTGACTAACTGACTAACTGAAAGACCGGCAGACGAGTTTGGTCCGGCTTGAAAAAAAAAGGGCCGATGATGATAGACAGGTTCCCAGTCTGCTGACGAATGACGAACCGACAACATTTTGCAAAATACCCACCTCTGATTATAAATAATGTCAGGTTCATCAGAAGCCTTTTATACTCGCGTTTGATGTGAAATACAACTGTATTCAAATGTCCTATAAATTCAAATAATACCAATGTGCAAATGCGGAGTACAGCCCAACTTTGGGGTTTTGACGTTCCATCAAAAGAAACAAAAGTTTTAAGAGTGAAGGCTTCTTTATTGTGCCATCACCGATGGTGTTGTGGTCCGTTCGCCTGACTTGTATGCGGGTAGCGTGGGAGCGGTTCCCACCTGTAACTTACTTGCGACCAGTTCAGGGTGTAGTCCACCTTCCACCTGAAGTCATCTGGGATAGGCTCCAGCAGCCCTTGTAAGATTAAGCGGTGTTGAAAATGGATGGATGGATGGGCTTCTCTTTAGTCGCACGGACTACACTGCGGCAATGCTGTATGCAATCTATCTTTGTACTCGCATGCAACCCGCATAAGTTGTTTTGAAAAAGTTTTCACTGCGTTTTATGTCCAATTCCGGTCACCATTTTTACTTTGCGGAACGAGGAACAAAGCTACAATACTGGAGACCGTATAACATTGCCTGCTAGAGCAAAGGGACCTAGATGACTAGATAATGCATCGATTTGTATTACGCAATCGATCAAGGAAGCGGCGCCGTAGGCGGTATGTGCGTGTATAGGCTTCTCTACACACGCACATAGCACCTACGCCGCCGTCAAGTTATCTTGCTCCGCAGCAGCACCAACAAGCTGCGTGGTGCGGTAGAGACCTTGTGTATTTAGGAACCGAGGCAGGGAAAGCTGAGTACAATGTCATCACAGCACCTGACTAAACGGATCAATCAGGAGCGATGTGTGCGGCATTCTACAATTTCAGTTGTTTGTGCAACGTGTTGAAGAAGGAACACAGACAAAGCTGTACGACACAATGTGTCAGCAAGGTGATGCAATGCGGCCATGGTTGCATACGCGCAAAGGCCTTCAGGCTATCACGCAATTTGAATAATTTGGGAGGCTCAGTCAGCTCATTGTTAAGTTGAAATTGTGCCATCCTTTAGTTCTGGGGTGTCAAACTCATTCTTTGTTCCGGGCCACTTCGGAGTTCCGGCTTCCCTCGGAGGGCCGATGCAAAATCTCAATGTTATTTCTTACTCATGACAATTTGACATTTCGGTACAGATTTCAACAAGGATCATGAAAGTTGACACACATGATTTGCTTCCACGGGCCACATAAAATCACGTGGCGGGCCAGGTCTGGCCCCCGGGCGTTGACTTTGACACCTGTGCTTTAGTTGATAGTTTCGCACCATTGTACAACCAACACCTAAGATTTCTAACCTTGTACGTATTAACCCCTATGATATATTTCCTGCATCTGGTGGACCACATACGAGGCAACAATGTAGATACATGATAAATATTTAACAAGAGTGTGAATGTAATCAGAAAATTGTAAATACAGATGGATTTCTGACACAGGCCAACCTAATTCAACTGTATATAATTCCATAAAAACCTCAGAGGATTTAAAATGCTTGTTGCTGTTGTTTTACTATTTTCTCGCATCACAGGTCCAGTCAATCGAGTCAAAGCTTGACTCATTACTCGACATCTATCGGCAGGTTCTGCGGAAGGGCTCGTCCACAGCTCTCACGCTTTCATCTTTGCCACTGTTTGAGCTGGAACAGACTTCTGACTCCCAGTCCTCTGTCTTCAGGAAGGATCTGTCCTTCCCCAGCCAGGTGAGCAGTGGCACAGTGCCTCACCCTGGCGGCTGCGTCACACGCTCCTCAACCAATCCCCACCTGTCCCAGGGTGGACTCCATCTCATCCTGGCGCCCCCGAATGATCTCGACCTTAATACCTCCAGCGCTACACTTCCCTCAGGCCCTGCTTCCTCATCTTTCAGCCCGTCACCATTGCCGCATCACCACCATCTTCCCCACCACCACCATCGTCATCCCCAACATCACACACAGGATCAGTCTACTACACCTGAAAGTGGCAACGATGAAACATTAGGGACCTCTCCTCCCATCCTCACACCAAACAGTATCTGCAGCAGTGGGGGTGGAGGAGCAGCAGATGAGAGATTTTGTCTTCTGGCAAGGCTCCCGCCACCACCTCCTCCAAACAGGAATGTAGGTCTTAGCAACTTGATGCGAGCAACCTCAAATGAAAATTCCCCTGAAATTGAAGACTTCTGTGGAAGTCTAGAATTACAAATCAAAGACGGCAGCACTGGGGAGGAAGTCGGTCCAGATTTGAGGTCCGGCACAATGGGGAAGCATCAACGGGGTAACACCAACAACAAGGGCAGACTAAATGCCAAGGAGGAGGGCTCATGGAGGAGGCATATGAGTCTTGAGCTGGAACCCCTGGTGCCACCAACCATAAGCTGCTGCTCAGGTCCCAGTCAGGTAGATCACAGTCTGGGAAAGTCTTTGTCAGTGCAGGACTTGATGCAGACAGCCCAAGGCAAAATGCAAGGCACCCACTGCAACATTTCATCCCCAGGATTCAGTCGAAACTCTTCCACTGACTTCCAAAGAAGCTGCCAAGACCTAGGCACAGGGGCAACTGGCAAAGTTTGGGGGGAAGATGACCTTTTTATCAATGACAGGGAAGTGGACATGCAGGGATTTGATTTCTTGTCACATGGGACAGTCGAGACTCCCTCATACTCCTCAGAACTCTTGAGAACAGAGTCTGTGGCAAAAGGGGCATCCCGGGGGTCCAACCACAGCCTGGTCGCTGCTCATTCATCCTCACCCTCTGCTAGCAGCAGTGAATTACTGAAAATGCAGCGTGTTCGATTAAAATAGTGCGTGTTCAGAGGGCACGGAAATCTCACGTCATAGAAGGATAGCTTGTGATCATTTTTTTGTGTGAACGTGGAATAAAATGGTGTCCTTTTTTTATTTTGTTGATCTGAGTTTGAAACAATCACAATATTTTCATACTGGTTATGAATCTTACCAATACTATTTTACTGTTTCATTGCATGAAGTAGCCACTTGTCATTCTAATCTTGAGACTTTGAAGATATTTGGTTGAAGTATCCATTGAGTGTTAAAGAGATGAGGAAGAATGTTTACAGTACATTCCAAAAATGTAAGTCTGGACTCTGACTGGCCAATTTCTCTCTCTCTCTCTCTCTCTCTCTCTCTCTCTCTCTCTCTCTCTCTCTCTCTCTCTCTCTCTCTCTCTCTCTCTCTCTCTCTCTCTCTCTCTCTCTCTCTCTCTCTCTCTCTCTCTCTCTCTCTCTCTCTCTCTCTCTCTCTCTCTCTCTCTCTCTCTCTCTCTCTCTCTCTCTCTCTCTCTCTCTCTCTCTCTCTCTCTCTCTCTCTCTCTCTCTCTCTCTCTCTCTCTCTCTCTCTCTCTATATATATATATATACACACACACACACACACACATTTTAATATCATATCCCCCATCGCAATTGTAACCCTTTTTGTTGGTGGTGGAGCTCAAAGAGACGTGACTATTTGACTCGCTTAGCTTACTTCCGCCAACATAAACACACAAAGCGTGTTGGTCAGCTCCACCGGCCTTATCGGTGCACTCGGCTGTAATGCAAATAAACCGGCATACAATTTACATGGAATATAAAATAAAAAGAATACAATGAAAATGTACCTGCACAAACATACAACGTGCACTGATCAGCTCCACAAGGCCATTTCAGCTCATTCAGAAGTAAATTCTTACGTTAGCATTTTTTGGCTGAGTAACTACTAGCAAGTGCATGGCGCTCCCCAACTCATCTCGGCATTGACGAACTGGCGGCACCTGCGGCACACCCAGCTATTTATACCCATTACATTAAGTGGAATCAGTCCACTTCCAAATTCACCCTGCTGCTACACAATATGCGATGCCCCACCCCCATCCACGACAAGAAAAAAAGAATTGTGCTGTTGTTTAACTGTATATTCTTGACATACCATCCAATGATAACATGTGCCATAAAGATGTTTAACATTGAATTATCATTGGCAAATTTGCAAATGAAATCTGCCCTGTGGGTCTTCATGTTTCGACAACCATTACCAAACTGTCCAAAAGTTGAACGTTTGTCAGTCGGTGTTCTTAAAATGTGCACAAAGAAGTCAAAATATCTGTTGTATAGCATCGGCTTTTAGACTGCGACAAGTTTACAATCTAAGTTTCTTGGTTTAGGACATAAATGTTGTTTACTTGTAAATGTAGGCTTGTTTTATGGTTATTTGAAATCACATCGTTGTGGAATGTACAATTGAAGCTGTAATGCTCATGTCATTAAAAATGCAAGTGTCTGCCTGACAGTTGCATGAAGAGGACTTGTAAATCTCCTCTTCCTGTTGCATGAAACAGAAGCGGGTTCATTTTTGAATGCCATGAGATTCTTTTCTCTAAAGTGTAGGACATGATTGCATGAAAAGCTACCTTACTGAAGACCCATCTTGAAGACCAGAATGTGTGTGTGTGTGTGTGTGTGTGTGTGTGTGTGTGTGTGTGTGTGTGTGTGTGTGTGTGTGTGTGTGTGTGGAAGGGCGAAAACTCGGGTCATTTTGCTAAGTATCGATGTTGATTTCTGCTCGTATTTTTAAAATTTGGGCCTTGGCTGCTATATCCAACTTGTTTTGTGAGAAGAAAAAAAGCTAATTAATATGACAAATGTATGTAAAATGTGACTGCTAAATGTAAAATGCCAGCTCTGACATCAAGACAAAATGTGCTGTTCATATACAGGTGCCTTGCTTTTGTGGAACATTATCTCCCCATTTGGGATTTTTCAAAAAAAAAAAAAAATCATGAAGTTCCTTAAATGTTGTAGATTTTGCATTTTCTTTCCGACTAGAGATTTTCTTTTGCCCATTGATTAGTTTTTTACTGGCTATAAAACATCCCACTGGGCCTTAACCGTGTTTTGTCTTTTGATTTTTTAAATTATGTACATGTATTCTCACATAAAAAATAATGTTCAATTTATATCGACTGCAATGTCATGAAAATACAAACCCAATTCCAATGATGTTGGCAAGTTGTGTTAAACATAAAAACAGAATGAATTGCAAATCCTATTCAACTTATATTGGATTGAATACACTACAAAGACAAGATATTTAATGTTCAAAGTGATAAACTATTTTGTTATCAACTAAGACCAAACAAAAAAGATAGTGTGTTTCCGGTAACATGAAATTTCAGCATAGGGTCGGTAGGTCGGACAAAGTTTTTTTTTTTTTTTTTTAATTTTTTTTTTCCCCCATCAAAAATGTAAACAAAATAACCATAAAACATAAAACAAGGAGACATTGAACCCCACCGCTTGCCGCCTAAGGCGGCGAGAGAGTTGGATACCCGGCGGCTGGGTGTTAGGTTCCGAGGTCAGCTGGGTCGCGATGGCACCGGCGGGGAGAGGTCCCCGATGCTGGCTGTGGCCCGGCCTGCACTCGAGTTGCGTAGACTAGGCGGACGGTGCGTCGACCAGCACGCGGGTTGGCGGGGTTGGCGGTCGGGGAACGCCCCGGGGCGCGCCGCCGCCGTCCTCCTCCGCCGTCCTCCTCCGCCCTCGGTTTTTACTCGGCCCGTAGTGTTCATCAAATAGTTCGCTGAATTTTTTCGATACATCAATGGATGCTATTTTCTTAACATTACGGTGCGAGCATGCGACTGTAACACAGAAAACGCGGTTTAAACTGTCGTTGGAGATTGCGGCTGCCTCCATGATTCATGATTCAATGTTGTTGACAGACGACAGGGCAAACAACACACGCGCTCAACGTGAATATCGAGTGAGTTTGCACGATGCAAACCCTCCACACAAAAATGTAGACAGTTGTTTGAAATAACTGCCGACCGTAAATTTGTTTTTCGAAGTAGAAATTCTCGGTCGGTCGGGTTACCGGAAACACACTACTTGTTTTTCTAATCATTAACTTCGAATTCTATGGCAGCAACACATTCCAAAAAAGTTGCTACGGGTGCCAAAAAAGATGGAGAAAGTTGAGGAATGCTCATCAAAGACCTGTTTGGAACATCCCACAGGTGAGCGGGCTCACTGGGAACAGGTGGGTGCCATATTTGGTGGAGCTCCCCTGAATCGCTCAGTCAATCACAAACAAAAATGAGCCATCAACAACTGTGTGAAAAAATAGTCGAAGAGTTTAAGGACAATATTCCTCAATGTACAATATCAAGGATATGAGGGATTTCATCATCATTCATTAAAATAACATCAAAAAATAATATCAAAAGATTCAGAGAATGTAGAGAAATCAATCACTCCGTGTCAGCGGCAAGGCCGACAACCTACACTGAATGCCCATGACCTTTGATCCCACAGGCGGCACTGCATCAATAAAACGACATCAACCTGATAGGATATCACCACATGGGCTCAGGAATAATTTCAGAAAACCGTTGTCAGTAAATACAGTTCGGCTCAAGCTCTTCTAAGATGGACTGCTGCAAAGTGTTCTGTGGTTTGACGTGTCCGTATTTCAAAACTGTGGACATCGTGTCCGCCAGGCCAAAGAGGAAAAAAACCAACCGGACTGTTAGGGGCGCAGAGTGCAAAAGCCAACATCTGTAATGGTATGGGGCTGTGTTAGTGCCAATGCCATGGGTAACTTATACCACATGCCTCTGTGAAGGCACCATTCATGCTGAAAGGTACATACACATTTTGGAGAAACATCCATCCAAGTCTTTTTCATGGACACAGCCGCTTATTTCATCAAGACAATGCCAAACACATTCTGCATGTGTTCCAACAGCGTGGCTTCATAATAAAAGAGTGTGGGTACTAGAATGGCCTGCTTGCAGTCCCGACCTGTCTCCCATTGAACACGTGTGGCGCATTATGAAACATAAATATGACAGCGGTGACCCTGGACTGTTAAACAGCTGAAGCTGTACAAATAGCAAAAATGGGAAAGAATTCCACTTCCAAAAGCTTCAACAATTAAAAGTTCTTAGGTCCTAAATGTCGATTGAATGATGTTAAAAGAAAAGGTGATGTACCACAGTGACCCTCTTCCAGCTGTTTTGGAACATGTTGCAAACATAAAATTCTCAGTTAATGATTGTTTACTAAAAACAATAACGTTTATCAGCCTGAACATTAAATACATCTTTGTAGTGGTATTCATTTGAATATTGGTTGAACATGATTTGCAAACCATTTTATTCGGTTTTTATTTATGTTTAGCAAAATGTCTTGGAATTGGGTTTGTACTGGAAAACCTTTCCTCTCTAAAATAAAGACCATCTATCTTGGTTTGTTTTGGCGTTTTGCAATAGTTTACTTGATTGTGTTGTTCATGTGTGCCAAATCAGACTTGAGGCTTCATTACGAAATGATGAAACCCACAACACCAAATGGATTTCAGGTGCATGAATTTAACAGTAGCATTCACCAGTGCTTCTTGGAAACAAATTAAATCCTATCATGGCTCTTCCTTGAGCTATTGCCTTACCGTGGTTGAGTCGTTTTTGTGTTCCAAGGATCCTAGGAGTTAAGTTGTCGAGGGATTTAGGCCCCTGGTAGGTTCAGGGCAAATAGGTCCTTGCTCAAAGACCACACAAAGCATGGCATTGAGCCACCTATGGACAATAAAATATTTGGATCTTCTTTTCCCTCGCCCAGACAAGGGATATCAGAGCTCTGATGGTGATGTCGGGCACAGTCCGGAGAGGCAGGCTGTACAGATTGCTCCGAGTATCAATAGAATTGATTCTAAAGGGAGTATCTGTGTTGTATCAATACCAAATAGCCAGTATTGATCGATCGTTTACATTTATATATTTTGGTTGCTCTTGTGTTCTTTGCACATTCTCTTTATACAGACACCCGTGCCAATGACGTTTACATTTATATATTTTGGTTGCTCTTGTGTTCTTTGCACATTCTCTTTATACAGACACCCGTGCCAATGACGTTTACATTTATATATTTTGGTTGCTCTTGTGTTCTTTGCACATTCTCTTTATACAGACACCCGTGCCAATGACAGCGGTAACACCAGCGGTAACAGCAACATTTGACACAGGAGAAGTACCATATCATCTGCACTACAAGGCGCACCTTCAATGAATGGCCTATTTTAAAACTGTTTTTATATATAGGGCGCACTGCAATATAAGGCACATAGAATAGAAACTACAATAGTGGCTGCGGTTGCGCTATGCATCCACTAGATGGTGCTATGCTCAAGTAACTACAATACAGTACAGATTTATTCATATGTAGAGCCTTCACAACCTCTGCAGCTCAACAATGAAAACTGGTCACAAACACAGATAATAATAAATGAAAGACAAACGTGATGAAGACAACTGATTCAACAAACTTCGTGGGCTCACATCCACAAGGGGCTGAACATCCTTCCAAGTCTTGCTTGTCCCCCTCTACGTTTAGTCAGTCATAAACTATGCAAGTGGTACTGTCTTCATTTCATAATGGCTGTGCAGATCTCACAAAGTAGTTGTCTGTTTGATTGTGTGTTGGCGAACGCACATGTCAATTTGTGTAGGGCTGAATCTTTTTAGGTTACAATTGGTTCCTGCTAATAATCACCACTAGATGGCATAGGAACACTCACAGGGAAACAACTCAATGGGGGACAAAACAGAGTTACAGCCTCTTCATATTACGTGCATTGGATTATAGGGCGCCCTGTCGGCTTTTGATGAAATTGAATGCTTTTAGGTGCGCCTTAAAGTGCAGAAAATATAGGGTAGTATGAGAAACAAAGATTGAGAAAAGAAAGTGGAGCGTGTTACGGACTTATCACAGCAATGGAAGAAAGTTGAGCCGCGTGTGATATGTTTTTAAAAGCGTATTCGATACTGGGTCAAGACCACAAAGTTATTCAAACACATGCAAACTCACGGAAAAAAAAACAAAAAACGTTAAACACATGCAAACTCACGGAAAAAAAAACAAAAAAAAAACGAGCTGCAAGAATAACACAGTCTCAGACAAGAATGATCGCAGATGCCAGATAACACCGGCCAAATCTTTTGCAGGGAAGCAAAGAATATCCAAGTACTACTAATATTCCATCAAGTTACAATGTCAAATGCCAACATACTTGCTACTTATATTGAACATATTGATAGAGTTGTGTGTGTAATTAGTCACACCCAGGAATTTCGAGAAAAAGTGTTGATTGTGCGGAGAACTTATTGCACGGCTTGAAAGTTGATTTTCTGTGGACAGGAATTTCAGAGATACTAGTACCGTAGTCCTGACTCAATCAAGTGGTCATTTATCAAAAGCTGAAGCTATGTGACCAGATATGGAAATAGGAACACACAGGACATCATCAAGAGACACATACACATGTGTTCAGGTTTTACACAAAACATGAGTGAGGCAAGGATTATCCGCTGTAGTGAGAACTTGCTGTTTTATGATCTAGTGACTGGATGACCAGGAGACAGTGGACCGAAGATGTGCACTTATGTTATAACGAAATAGTTCAAATGAGGTTCTTTTTTAAACTTCATTAAATATTCAACCATGATTACTTGAAGCTTGGTTGGAGCGTGAATATGACAAAATAGTGTCAGAAGCAGGTTGGACACATCTGAAGAAAGCAAAGCTTTATTTGAAAAACAGCCACCTTGACACTGACTGGCAGGCAAGGGGAAAACACTCAACAAAGGAGCCATTAACTAAAATGAGGGGGAAAAAAATGACTGGTTCGTGACAAAGGGGCATAATATCCCGTGTGTTTATGGTAGAAAAGAGACAGCTGTGCACTTTGGCTGTGCAGCTCCACCCATCCACTTGTCACATACGCAAGCGCCATTCCTCTGGCACATGGAGAGGCTATAGTTAAGTCCAGTGCACCGTGAGGGTAAAACACATTATGGCTGACTAAAACTGATGTGCTGAGTGTACGGGTGGGCACACATTGACCATATACTCTCACCGCTGCCAAACGGTGTACTTACTGCATTCACGCTGACGGCCATGCGTCGATATTATGACATAATTTTAACTCGTGTAAAAGGATCAGTGCGAGTTTACATCACCAAAACTTGGACAAACCCAAAGACCAACTTTCATTTTCACAATGCCCCTTAACTTATGCATCTAATTTCTTCTGCCACTCATGTTGTATCACAGGTGACTTTAGGTAAGAGGTGGAGTAAACCTCAAAATACCAAATTTCATATATTTGTAATATTTACATTTACTCATGACGTGATATTTTTACAATCCACTTTGAGAACAATTGGCGCCTCATTGCGATGCTTACTACTGCAAAATGCTGTATTTTCCGCACTAGAAGGCGCTTCGGAGTGTAAGGCACACCTTCAATTAAGGGCCGATTTTAAAACTGGTGGTTTCATATATAGGGTGCACCGCATTATAAGGCGCACAGAAGCTACAGTAGTGGCTGCGGTTGCGTTATGCATCCACAAGATAGAGCTACGCTAAAGGGAAGACAATACAGCTTGATTTAAAAATTCGGAATATGGATCCATATATATGGCATATCAGATTATAAGGCGCACTGTCGGCTTTTGAGAAAATTGAATGCTTTTAGGTGTGCTTTATAGTGCGGAAAATACGGTACTTCTTTGCATTGGCCTTTCTAGCATTCCATGAGATTTTATTTTACCCCTGTGACCACTGTGCTGACTACAATGCTGCATAAATGTTTGGTCATGTTGAAATGTATTGTGACATCTTGTCATATTATTTTGTTTGGAGCAAACTTTATGGCAGTACACAAATGCTTTTGAGTAAGAAAAAATTAAAAAAATAAATAAAAGAAAGAGTCACGTATCAAGTCCACGGCAGAACACCAATCTTTGCTACCATAGAGATAATTATATGAAAAGGATCATTTGAATATAAAATGTGTGATATTGCATACAAGTCACAATTGACCAGCAATTGCTAAGAAACAGGAGTGAAACATTAATAGTAACAATAGCTGACGTGGTTTTACATAGTTCATGTTCATTGAAGACAGCTCATCACTTGGTGATCCGAATGCTTGCAGTAGCAGACACTATTTCGATTTCCTTTTGAAGGCAGAATGGAATTACAGCAGTTAATGGATAAGTTAAATACATAAAAGGCTTTTATCATATGTCATCGCTGCTTTTTCAGACAGTCTGCATATCCAAATGTTTAGAATCAAACAAAAAACAACCAACTTTCTTCTGCATCTCAAACCTCAGAATTTCCTCTTTCACGTACAGTATCTTTGCTAACATGAGGCCATGAACAAAATGTTGCCGTAATAGATGTTTAAGGGCCCATTATGACTCATACCACTTTCCCCGAAGTCCAACGTCCCACATGACAGAACCATTAAAACGCATCATCAGTCAATCTTGTTTAAGTACGAGAACACTAGTTGAATATCAGTGACTGGTTGCATATAAGTAACGGCCATTTGGGGAAATATTCCCTCATTGTTCAACTCAAATATCAATAATGGAGGCCGGTATACAAAGGTTTAGATGAGGCACCCTTCTGTAGACAAAATGGAAGGTCTTTGCACGGGGTCGGCTGTGAAGCTCAGCTTTGATTTGCTGAGGGTGCGTGTCGGGCGCCAGTTGCTGGCAGGTGTCCTCGGTGACCAGAAAGAGAGCATAGCGCTCAGGCTCTGAAAGCTTGAATTTAGAAGCACAAAGTGAGCAGACCTCTTCTGTCGTGGTGTATGAATGGACGAGTAAGGTTTTGGCTGTGCAGCCTGTATCCACATCTTGCAGGGCTAAACGTAGATAGTTCTTAAGGAGAAGAGCAAAAATGTGGTCTTAGGACTCTGAAAAGGAAATTCAAACAAGCATGCGGAAAAGCATACATTCTGGGCATGCACATTTTTCATCGTTCACAAATAACGTAAATGCAGATTCCGATCTGAAATCTCACGTGCTCTAATCGTGACAACAATCGTGACTACAAATACACTGAATGGACATGAGTTGGGCAACACCTTTATGAATCTTTGAATAAAACGTTTGGGTTGCAAACGTAGTCCCCTCCAGACTTTCAAATTTGGATCATTCTATGCTTTTACCGACATTATGTGAGAACAGTTCGTAGAAGGCACACAGATTATTAAAATTATTAATGGTATTCTGAATATACAGTGTAACAGAGATGAAAGTGGACTTTTCTGAAAATTCCGGAAAAAATAAATAAA